TTTCAGAAAGATCCATACACTTACACACAAGTTATTGTCATTAAACTAGAAAAATGCTTGTTTTTTGCCCCTAATTCCTGAAATTTTGAGGTAATAACCCCCAAAATCAATCCCAGCATTCCCTTTGTGATATGGAACCTTGTGGTACAATGTCAGAGAGATCCATACACTAACACACAAGTTATGTCTGGAAGTTACAAAAATGCTTATTTTTGTCCCCTTTTTGGCCCCTAATTCCTTAACTGTTGGTACCACAACCACCAAATCAATCCCAACCTTCCTTTTGTGGTATTGAACCTTATGGTAAAATTTCATAGAGATCCATTCACTTTAACTAAAGTTAGAGTGCAAAAACCAATGTGTCTTCGGACGCCGACGACGCCGACATCATACCAATATACGACCGCAAAATTTTTTTGTGGTCGTATAATAATAGACAAAACTTGCATTTTACCCCAATGTTCTATTTTTGACCATGTCAGCCATCTTGGTTGGCAGGCAGGGTCATCGGACACATTTTTTAAACTAGATACCCCAATCATAATTGTGGCCAAGTTTAAAAGTTTAGTTAAATTTGGCCTATTAGTTTCAGAGGAGAAGATTTTTGTAAAAGTTAATGACAACGGACGCGAAGTGATGAGAATAGCTCACTTGGCCCTTCAGACCGCAGAGGTCCAACCCTGAACAGTTGGGGCAAAAATGGACACAATATTCACGCTTGATACAGGTCTGCATTTGGATTGTAATTAAATATTTGACACATAATTGGTTTCTGACACAGAATAACTGTAGTCAAATGACTTAGAATTGGTTATATGATTTGAAGTTATATTCAATGTTTTGCTTTTGTGCAATACACTGTGCCTGTGCAAATTGACCCCCCCCCCCAAAAAAAAAATAAATAAAAATTAACCCTCTTTTTTTTTTTTTTTGCTTTTGTGCATTACACTATGCTGTTGAGTATTGACCCCCCCCCCCCCCCCTCAAAATAAAAAAAAAAACCCCTTTTTTTGCAAAAAAAAAAATATTTGAAGAAATTTTGTTGAATTTCTGAAATCTGAAATGAGAAAAAATTGCCACCCCCCCCCCCCTTTTCCAAAAAAAAATTCTTTCCCTCAAGGTATGGTCATAATCTCAATTCAAATTTCCAAGTATTAGATACAATAAAAAGGTAACAAAGAAACAGGCCGGTAACAACCGTTGCTGGATAGTTTTTCTGCACGAGTAGTCAGGTCAAGACCTGACAAAAAGTGCAGACAAACTATACGGCAGGTTGTTTCCGACCTGTTTTTTGTTACCTTTGTTTTGTATCTGACTCGTACGACGTTTCAAGAAGGAAGAAGTACATTTTGCATTTAGAAGAGGTAGCAAAATTAAAGATATTAGAAACTTAAGTGGCCATATACCAGTTAATGTAAGTTACAGTTTAAACTCAATTTTTTTCTCACTTCCCTTCAGCCGAGAGTTTTTTCTCAAAAAATTCAAGAATCTTATAACTTTATAAAAAGAACCATTTCAAGTTAAAGATGAATGTTATACACATTTGAGACTTTTTGAAATGCATTGGTGAGTTGATAGGAATTTTATCTTTTGATTAGATTTGATTTTTATATATATATTTCCTGTCTTTTTATTGAAATATAAACGTTGGTACCAGCATTTCTTTCAGCATTGTCCAGAATACTATTCATCTCCATATATTGAAAAAAAAAAATACATTTACGGACCGACCATTTAGCTTCAAAAGGGGGTGTGTTCTTTTCTGAGTAAGAAAATTATTTAGTTTTTCAACGCTTTCGCCCACTATTATATACGGTATTCGAAAAATCAGGAGCCAGAACATTATTTTCAGTGTCATCTGCTTGACCATTATATATTTTTTCTCATAAAATTGGGGATCAAAATGTGTTTTTTTAGGAAAAAAACCATAACCTGTCTTTTGAAGTTAAATGGTCAACCCCTTAGTGTGCTAATATGAATAGTTACTGGATTTGTTTGAAAAAAAATATAGTTATTGATGCTAACGTAAATATTTTTAATTAAAAAGACAGGAAATATGTCGGTGAAACAAAAAGTTCAAATCTAATTGAAATTTAAAGTGCCCATGAACTCACTGATCATGCACGAGTGATTCTATTCATAAAAAGTGTCCATGTAACAACTAAAAAGTGTCCGTGTATCATCTTAAAAGTGTCCATGTAACACCTGTTAATGTACTGTTTTTCTATAGCTCTGCTGGGAGCAAAGTCGTACAATGGACTTTGCAACCATAATTACCCATTTAAATACATCATAAAAGTCTTAAATAGATAATTTAAAAGCAATGTAAGGGAGGTAATCAAACATTGTACAATTTTGTTTTTGGATTATCTCCCTTACACTGCTTTTAAATTGTCCATTAACCAGGAAACCCTTGTTTTCCCCCCCTTTTTTGCCCCCAATTCCTAAACGGTTTCAGCCATAACCCCCCAAAGCAAATCCTAACCATCCCTTTGTGGTATAATTTCAGAGATCCATACACTTAAACACAAGTTATTGTCTGGAAACTAGAAAAATGCCTTTTTGGGCCTCTTTTTGGCCCCTAATTCCTAAACTGTTAGGACCATAGCCCCCAAAATCAATCCCAACCTTCCTTTTATGATTATAAACCTTGTGTTTAAATTTCATAGACTTCTATTTTCTTATACAAAAGTTATTGCTTGAAAACCAACTGTCTTCGGACGACGACAACGTGATACCAATATACAACCGCAAAATTTTTGTCGTATAAAAACATGGATGGGACACTAACCTTACAAAATGTATTCACCATACCAAAAAATAGCTCACAAACATTTCAGAATATGATTTTGAAAGTTGAGCTAAAAAAGAATCTGTGGTATCAATTTTCTTCCAGGATTTGAAAGATTCTTTTTTTTAGACATTAATGCGGCTGTGTAAGAGAGCACCATTTTTTCTTTGATGTTTTAAACGAACACCATTGTGAAACACTCGCAGTTAAAATTTTATGCTACATGTTAGCAAGGATTTGTATAGTGATACTATACAAATCCTTGACTTAAGTATATCATAATTGGAAGGTAAACGTAAATCAAAATGTTTTTTGTGAAATGCACTGTGACCACAAAATCAATAGGGTTCTTCCTTATCCCATAGAGCATTTTAAACCAAATTTGGTAAAGATATTGTCTGGAAACAGAAATATTGAGGTCTGGAGTTTGTTACAGGTAAAAGTAGTTCATTTTGACTCCAAAAAAGCAGAGATGTACTAGGGTAGTTGATGGCAGACATTTGAATATCTACTTAATTTATCCACACTTTATTTCATACTCTTAGTAACGTATAGCTTGATATATTGTAAAGACACCTGTTTATTGTTAGACTGTATATTGACCTTCTGGTGATTTTTTTGTGCCATTGATTATCTCTCTGACCTATCCCCCCCCCCCCCCCCCCCCCCACCATCTCCATGTATTTATCCCTTTACAGACAGTAAGATGGACATGTCCGATAGAAGTAACTGATACAAGTCTGATTAACTTGGTTCTGTTTTATTCAAAAGACATTGCATAAACAAACAAGAAAGTTTAAATATATATATGATAATATTCCTTAACAAAACCTGGCATTTAATGCAGTATTTACCTCTCTTGTAATCTTTTGCACAATATCCCTTTTACAACCATCTGTAGGACTTGCTACTAATGATGTACTACAACCGACATAGGTAATGCATATTTAATGAACTTTATAACAATAATGACAATCAAGTAAAATAAACTGCTTCACTGAGCGCAGCTGGATACACCCGCAGAGGTCCAACCCTGAACAGTTGGGGCAAAAATGGACACAATATTCAAGCTTGATACAGGTCTGTACTTGGATTGTAATTAAATATTTGACATATTATAGGTTTCTGAATAAATGTAGTCAAAGAACTTGAAATTGGTTATATGAATTGAATTTATATTCAATTAAAGATTTCTTGCTGTTGTGCAATACACTGTGCTGTTCCGCAATACTAGGTAAATCTGTTGTCAGACTATTAACAAATAAAGTTCAATTTCTTCTCAATGTCATATTTGAAATTTACGAAAATCAATAGGGAGATTACCTCAATAGCTATAAATAATTCACCAAAGTTTCATGAGAACTGCTGAAAGCATTTTTGAGTTATTGTCCAAAAACTGGAAAATCCCCCCTTTTTTAATGAATAAAACCCCATAACTCAGAAATGTAAAATGTAAAATTTATAAATTTCTAAAGGGAGCTTACATCAACAGATATAAACAATTCACCAAAGTTTCATGAGAACTGCTGAAAGCATTTTTGAGTTATTGTCCGAAAACTGGAAAATCCCCCTTTTTTTATGAATAAAACCCTGTAACTCGGAAACGTTAAATCTGAAATTTATAAAAAACGAAAGGGAGCTCACGTCAATAGATATAAACAATTCACCAAAGTTTCATGCATATTGGTTAAAGATTTTTTGAGTTAATGTCTGACATGTTGACGATGGACGGACGGACGGACAGACAGACGGTCAACGGTATACCATAACACGTCCCGTAAACGGGCGTATAAAATAGGTAATTTTGCAAAGTTGAATACTTCCAGAATTATTCCAAGGTCAAAGCATTGCCTCTAAATTCTCTTATATGAAAATTACTACAATATCAAACTTTATGGCATCGTTCAAATCATTCGATTCTATTGTCACTTTTTAAAAATGTATCATGACAATATATGACAAATGCCTACCCCCCCCCCCCCCCCCCCCCCCCCCCCCCCCCCCCCCCCCCCCCATCAAAAGTCTGCTTGCTCTAAATGCAGTGCAAAAATTGTCAATTTAATGTTATAAAAGTGTTAAATCTATTCAGAAATAAAGCAGTTATAAGATGGAAGCATTATAATGTACCACTATCTGATCTTACAGCCCAATCATTCACTTGTAAATATCAATGAAAATATTAATGAGCAATGGAGATATCTTATGAATATTCTTTTAAATGTATTTGATGACTATAAAATAAAATGAAAATATAAATACAAATGAAACATGAACAAACGTGCAATTAAATAATCTTTTTCTACTCCCTAAATAAAGGAAGATAAGCATTCAAAAATAAAATTGATCAATGTCTGTTGTATCTGCTTTATGGAATTTTGATCCAACAAAAAAATTTATATCATGGTGTCTGACTGTATTCAAATATGTATTCTGGGTATAAGTAATGGTCTTCAAGCTTTTCAAACCATTCATTCTTTTTTCAATTTTTTAAAATGCAAAGTAAACATTTGAGCTGCGTCGGATAGAAATCGACCTTATGCAAGTGCACGTATTCAGGTACACGTGTAAGACTGTGCTTTATTTTCGAACATTCAAATATGAAATAAGAGATAAATGTTGGTCTGTTTTGTAGAGTTCTTACATCAACTCAATTTTCAAGCAGTTATAGACTTTGCATGGAGGTTTTTTCAACCCGAAATAGGTTAACAGATGTATTGATATTCATTTCCATAAGGTCGATTTCGATTCGACGCAGCTCATTTTACACATTGATAAAGACAGAAAGATACTTTTACATCCCTAATAACATACTCATATTATGGAATTCAATAAAAAGAAAATAGATATATATATAAAAGTATGAACACAGTCTACAAACAAGTACAAAATCGCTCACACAAATAAATAAATAATACTTAGCCCAAAATGTATGATCATGCTATAAGCCAACAAGTCTCAACACAATAACCACACTAATTTACAGTCTCACATATGCTTTAAAGTTCAAGGTCAAATCATACTAATCTGTGCCTATCAGATAATTATGTTCATATGAGTTTTTAATTATTTGTACATATGGTTGGAATGTTTATATAATGACATTAAATTTTCATGTTATTCTAAAAGGTTATATGGATACAAAATACAAAGTTATCAGATAAACACACTGAGTGCTTTGTGTATATACAGATAGCCATGTTTATAACAATTACATACATGTGAAGGTTGTATGTTGTATTCACAGTATAAAGTTGACAATTTTGCTGATAAACTTCACGTTTCTAGAAATAAAAATAAGCATCGGTATCCCAATAGTCTAACACATTCAAATGCATTTCTAACTTATCCTTTTAGCAAAAAGGATTAATATTTATGAAATCACAAATAAACTTAAACCTCACCTTATCAATATACAAATAAACTTATTTACATGAAATAAACTCTACAATGGACAAACAAAACAGATAAATAATGTGGTCATTTTTCAGTAAATATTTTTTTCATAGCCCATCATTCATTTTTTCCATATTTCTTAAATTCCCAATTGTTTGGTCTGGATCCTTCTCAACTGATATTCCATTAAGATATTGCACAATCTGGACAACAAGTGACCATTCATCAAACTGCAGAATTTTATCTTTTCCCTTTAAGCAGTTGCTTTTTAAATTCCAGTTGTGGAACATTTAATGGGAAATGTGACAGTGACCTTATCCTCCCCTTTTTTTCCATGTCACCTGTTCAGTTATGAAACATTGGACAGGACACAGAACAGTTGCCTTATTTCTCCCCTTGTTTTTCACACTTTCCTACTTTCCACGTAATTGAGGGTCTGGATGGGTTTTATAGAATAGAGAATAAGGAGCCAATACTACAGAAAAATCAACCAAAATATAAAGAATAGACAATAATGAGGTGCTAAAATATAAAGAATGGAGAATAATGAGTTGCTAAAATATAAAGAATGGAGAATAATGGGTAAAAAAATATAAAGATAGAAAAAAAAATGACCTGAAATAAAGAAATGCAAGAACAACACCCATTCCTCCCTCCAAACCCTCATAATCCCTTGAACTGACAAGTTGATTGCAGGAATTGGCCTTTCATTTTGAGGCTAATCTTTAACAAAGCCTTGCAGGGATTGTCACTTAAGAGGGAAAGGTAATAAAACATTATTGCATGCATACAAACCCCAAACTAGAACAGATTGTATTACCACCAAATTAAGAAATTCATAAAAGTATCAAAACTACACAATATCCTTACAGATAAACAAGTTTCTTTGAAAAGAACAGATAAACCATATTGCCTCTGATAGCTTTGGTTTAGAATTATACTATATCTTATACTTGTCATCAAAAAAGAAAAAACATAGTGAAGTATTTTTTTGGAATTTTTTTTTGCCATCTGAACATGCTGAACAACTAGATCATAATAATATTTATTAATGTCTTTATGTCATATAAGCATAATAAATGGGGCATGTGTTCATGGGACACAGATGATGCCCCCGCTTGCATATAATGTTATACAGGGACATAACTCCAGAACTGTAAAAGTGACGCCTTAAAAATTCAAATTTGATCTATGTTTTGTGGTAATATGTTAATAAGCATTGTGTATAAGTTTCATAACATTTGGTTGAGGCAAACTTAAGAGAACGAAAACGAAAAATCCAGCAATTTTTCCATTTGTAAAGGGGCATAACTCTAGAACGGTAAAAGTGACGCCACCAAAATTCAAACTTGATCTGTGTTTTGTGGTAATAAGCATTTTGTATAAGATCCATAACATTTGGGTGAGGAAAACTAAAGTTAGAGAACTGAAACGAAAAATTCAGCAATTTTTCCATTTGTAAAGGGGCATAACTCTAGAATGGTAAAAGTGACCCCACCAAAATTCAATCTGGATCTGTGTTTTGTGGTAGTAAGCATTGTGTTTAAGTTACATAACATTTGGTTGAGGCAAACTAAAGTTAGAGAACGGAAACCAATTTAGGAACGTACAGACATACAGATGGACAAGGGTAAAACTTAATGCCCCCTTCGCTATGGCGGGGGCATAAATATCTTTATAAGAGCACCATCATGATTCATTTCTCTAACAAGTGTCTATACAGCAAATTTGAATAGTGGAACAGGAACTGCTGACCTTTCTGAAGTACCTCAGTTCATGACCCCTTCTGAAGTACCTCAGTTCATGACCCCTTCTGAAGTACCTCAGTTCATGACCCCTTCTGAAGTACCTCAGTTCATGACCCTTCTGAAGTACCTCAGTTCATGACCCCTTCTGAAGTACCTCAGTTCATGACCCCTTCTGAAGTACCTCAGTTCATGACCCTTCTGAAGTACCTCAGTTCACCCCGTTCATGGTGGGGATCATGTTTTAAGTTTTCTTTGTATTGTTAAGCAGGCTGTTGCTTGTCTTATTCTTTGTGTTTATTTTCGTCCAGTTTTGTATTTCTTTTTATTTGTAGTTTTTGGTTATTCCTTGAATATTTTCTTCCACTTTTTTTGCTAGTTAGGAGTAACAATAAATTATTAACCTTTTCTTGACTTAATAAAAAACCTGAAATCTGAACATTTCATTACTGCATTGGTTTCTGAAATTGAAAAATTAACTGACATTGTACATCCATACTTGTCCAATACAGTTAAACAAGATCTATGGGTTGACAGGTATGGAACATAGAACCCTAGTTGGCACCAAATTAACATATAAATTTTTACTAAACATCTACAAATTTACATGTAATAATAAACTCAATACTTTGCTTTAACAATATGATAAATGCTCTAGATAAACCAACAATTCTATTTACATATTTAAATACATTTCAGTGCACAACTTTTGTTAGGTATTGTAGAAAATATCAGTCATTTGATATTGTATAAAAACTACAAAAGGCAATATCCATTTTCTTTTTACACATGCTGTAATGACAAGTTTGTTGCAAGGACAGATTGTCTGCTGGAGTTGTTAACTCGGTCACTTTAAGGTGAAAATATGTCACCAAATTTGCCGATTATTATCTAATGAATGGGTTATATATCTTGTGGTTTTAATATGTGAACAGCATTAATATCTTCATTCTTACCATCAAACATGTTGGTTACAAAACAATTTCTACATGTTTTTTTTCAGTACCATAACTGTTGATACTTTTTGTTTGCGTTCAGAATTTCTTTTAATGACATGCTGAAATGCTGACAAGATCTCTTCGATAATCTAGAATAAATTTGGTAAAGAAGATTTTAAAGCAAAAACATTTATTTTCTAAACAATTGTTTTTTTTAAACAATGCTTTTTTAACAATATTTTAGTTATTTATACTCTCTATAATTATTTTTTTGTATCATTTAATTATAGAAAATTTCTTTAACCTGTCATCACTTTTAAATGCTTCCACCGAAACTCGACAAAAAAAGTATTATTACAGATACTTTCTGAAGTTAGAAAGAATGTGTTAAATTAAATTAAATAATAAGCAGATAACATGATTTATTCCTTATTGATAGAACTTTAGTAGGTTTTTCTATATGAATGGGATTTTGAATAAATAAGCATATTCACCTGCGGAAAAAGTATATTCATCGCGCAAAACGTCGCGTGCTTTTACGTGTATAATAACGATACAATGTTTGACGTTTAGTTGGTTTTGGTAAATAACTGTTATTTTATACATATTTTTCTCGATCGGAACATGGAATAAAACAATTACTGTCTTTTGTTTCGGTAAATATGTGGTTTAATTGACTTTTGAAAAACCTAGTGATATTCACTTCAGCCGTTGGCCTCAGTGAATATCAGTTTTTTCAAAAGTCAATAAAACCACACATTTACCTCATTAAAAGACAGTAATTGTATAATGTTTTTTTCCACAATAACAAGTGTCTGACATTTTCTGTATTAAATCTACTGAGTTATGTACTTGACAAATATACATATTACATCTTCATGATCACAGCATAGTAAAAAAAATACATTTCAACTTGTTTATACACAAAACAACAATATCTATATCATTTTACATCATGCATCCCTTGATGTAGGCATATTTCGGACCTGTCTGTTTTTTATTATTTGCAAAGTGATCATAACTTTTTTAAGGCTATATCAATTTTCATTTAGTTCTTTGGAATTTGGGGAAACAAAAATAGGTGCTGGTGACATTTTCTGATATTTTTTTCCCCATTTTCTTGCCATTTTAAAATACTTAACTTTCAAAATAAGATAACAAAATTTTTATTTTTGATATTTTTGTAAAAATAAAAAATCTTCACAGATTTATGACAAGCAGTATCAGGCTTAATGAAAAATAGCTAGAAGCAAAGAACACCCATTGTAATTATAAGCATTTTTTTCAGTTGATAAGGGGAGAGATCATTTCCAACATTTTATCTCCAATAAATTCGTTCACAGATTTTTCAATTGATATGAAGAGAAATAATTAGTACCTGGTAGTCATGGTAATATATAAAAAAAAATTTCAAAAATATTTGACGTTCAAGGCCTTACGAAAAATAAGTCAGGCTAAACTAAAGCAAATAAGTTTGGTGGCTACTTCAACAAGGGGTGCATATTCTGACAAAAAATTATTACAACCAAGTTTGCTATATTTTTTTTTCATTTTTTCTTACACTTTCATCAAGATCTATCATATTTCTAATATTCTTTTTTTTGTATTCACACATGGCTATTTATTAAATAAATTCCTCTCACTTTACTGAACAAACTCTTCTTCCACTTTTGTCTTCTATCCCAACAAAACACACATACATACAACCTTCCAACTTACAAATAGACTAGAGCTCTATGAGCAGCAATCAACAATAAATTAACCCGATTATGCTTATTTTTTATCCTATATTTGGGACCACAAGTCAATCTCCAAAGCACCAAGAAGTTCTCTTATTGTGCATTGACAAGTCTTGGCATGGAATTACTTTGTATATTCAACAATGCATGAAACATAAATATTTTTGTATCACTTGCTAACTTGTAGACTACTTTGAGGAGATCACTGATGAAAAGAGTAGTGCTGGCTATCACAGTTTCTACCAAATCATTAAAAGTCAAAAGACGGCATGCTGAGATGAGATTCATCGGTCTCAACTACTGGCTGAGAATGTTGCTCTGTATAAGTCTGAACACAATCTTGAGACAATATGTTACACAATGCCATTAAACAATTGCTTGGAATCAAACTCCCTGAAAAAAACAGCAATACAATATGTTTCATTCATGTAAAAAAAAAACATGATTTATAAAAACCATTGGATATTACAAACTGCCAACATCAACCAAAACCAAATGGCAATTAAAAGTAAATGAAAGCCATGCAGGCCCTTTTATCAAACATTCCAAATGGTTTTGTTAGCACTGGTAGATCCATTGCAAATGAATAGGTGGTATCTACACTAAAAACTTTTCTTTATGATACAGGGGGCCGTATCTACTACGACTCAAGACCATGTGCTTTGGATTTACGAATGGAGGACTTAAAAAAAAAAAAAATATTGAAAAAGGTCTTGAAGATACAACAAAACATTTTTGCTAATTATCTCAAAAACCAGGAATTCAATGCAATTTAAGATACTACCTTTTAGTTCTATGATGAGGAATTGTTCATGAATACCATCAAATCAGAACAAAATGAAAATTATGTAAAGGGTTTTCAAATCTTCATTCTTATACCGTATATCGGTTTTTTTTTCGCTTTGTTCGTGGCACCTACAGAAACGCGAATATTTGACCCTGAGTAAATTTCCCCTACTTTTCCTAGATTTACAGCTGTTCTTTAAACGTTTAATATATAAAACTGCTAATTATCAAGTCTACATATAAACTGTTATCACAGAGATATGTCTCGTCTTTTGCAATTTTGATAATGCAATTGTTGAAATTAAAATAGCAATACTTTAACATGCAAGTTATGCAAATATTCAAAGTCGATGAACCATGAATGAAGGTACATGGCTAAACAATCTCCATAGAAATGAGATGTGCCAATGCTAATACAACTGCATACCAAATACCATTGACTTATTTTCAGTTGTTCCCTTTAAACAAACCTAAACAAAAACATTTAACTTGTAAACTATGTTAAAGTTTCAAAGTCAATGAACCATGATGAGGGGGTGGGGCTATATAATTTCCATGGAAACGATACTTGCAAATGACAATATATTTGCATACCAAATATCATTGACTTAACATTAGCAGTTCATCTTAAACTGATCTAATCACAAACTAATACATGTAAACTAAGCAAAAGTTTCAAAGCCAATAGACCATGACTGAGGAGGGAAGGGCAAAATAATTTCCATGGAAATGAGATGTGCCAATGCTAATACAACTGCATACCAAGTATCATTGACCTACCACTTGTGGTTTAACTTAAACTAGAACTAATCACAAACTAATACATTGTTGACACCGCCGCCGCCAGAAACAGCATACCGTAGAAAGGCTTGTATAGTTCGCAGTGGTACATAGTCCGCACCCCCTTCTCCCCACGAAATTTAAGGTAAAAAAACTCTTTGTAACTGTTAGAAAAGGTCTAATGAAACTTCGGTAATTTCAAATCCTGTGCGGTCGTTTGCGGTATTTTCTTGGAAAAACCTGTTTTCCATTATCAAACAGAAGCTGAAACTGCTTGTTAATGATTCTAGAACGCTTCATGATTGTTAAAATAAGTTTAATTCACTTAAAAAACAATTTAGAAACTTGTGTATGTTTAAACAGGAAGTTTAAAAAGCACGTGTAAAAGAAGAAATTAACCGGTGAGAGTTGAAATCCGTACATAACAGATATCACTATAATACGACTTTGAAAGTAAAACAGTTCCATCCTTTTGTAAAACAGTCTTTAATATATCTATCACATTAATGTTTGAAGGGTCTTAAGCTAATACAAACCATATTAGTCAGTATGAAACACCAAAACGGAACGAACAATAACCGATTTCGTTTTGTAGTTTACAAATTCTAAGCTGGTTTACGGTTGTCTTTTTCCCTATGTTTGTATCGTTTCAATCGAGCAGATACCAGTTTATTTCAATGCATTGAAAAGAAACGAGAAATTTGTAATGAAAGGTTTAGTTTTTATATTTATCAGTATTTATTTGATATTGAATAGAAATAACTTATTAATATGGATGAGTTAAAATTATTAGTTTGAAAAATGATAAGAGCGCCCTCTACAATAGAAATAACAAAGATGGCGGAACGTAAACAAACCACCTCGACCGCGAAATTGAAATTTTTCTCTTATTTCTTGCTTATTGTACTCTATAGTCCGCACCCCGTCTGGAAGGTCCAATTTTGGAGAATAAAACCGCGGACTATACAAGCCTTTCTACGGTACCTATGTCTCGCTTTTTGACTCCGTCAAGGCAAGACAAAAATGTACATGTATTTGTATACTCATTTGACCCTAATAGTGAAATTACATTTTATATAAAATCAGTCTTTTGTGTTGATCGGAAGATCACAAGAGTGTGTATAACTAATTGAGATATCTGTTTTTATAATAAATAAATAAATAAATTGGCTAATCATACATGTCATACCTTTTGACAACACAGAAGTCAGTGACATGTTCAAAAATGTTAATTACCGACGTCAATTGATTGGTTGTCATAACCAGCATTTAGTGTAAAAACTAAATTAAAAATAATCACATTTTAACGGATATTTACGCAAATATACTTTCAAAATGCTCTGTTATACCAGCACAAACATGATTGAAAAATGATTTTTATACCATGCCACAATGGACTTGATTTAAACGATTATTGAAAGATCTCCGAATATGTGTATTTTAGTCTGTAGTACACATATTTATATGTAATCGATTATCCGTCAGTCATTCATATTTATGTTGTTTACATCTTTAACAATACATTACAGTGAATTTTTTCGCGTGTATTTTCCCATTCAGCGAAAAAATAATACACAGTGAAAATTTAACCTGCCCATTTTGTCATCAAATTGCGAAAAAAAGCTGACGCGAAAAAACCCCAATATACGGTGTAGGATAAATTTCAAAGTTGACAAATCAGAACCAACACTGCATCTTGCTACATCCAATTGAAAAGAGATGGAATTTTTATATAAAGGACGGTAACGTACATAAATCCAGTAGAGTTAGGTCTACATTGGCTCAAAGTTTCAGATGCAGTTTAAATGTGAAAAGTTGATAGACTTAAGATGGATTTCAGTGATGGCAATAGGATAGAATAAACACATCAAACTTATGCTACAGACATTACAACCCCAGTACCTGGCCTAATTATTCTTCTATTGAACTATTTAGACTTTGAACCTAATTTTTCCTGAACAAAACTGCCAGCAGCTGTATACGTTATAATGCTACATACGTCACTATGCTGCATACGTCACTATGCTGCGTATGTCACTATGCTGCATGTCAGTAACTGCTAGTAGTCCTTTGTTAATTTATGTATCATTGTCATTTTGCTTAATTTCTTTTGTTACCTTTTCTGACATCGGACTAAGACTTCTTTTAAACTGAGTTTTACTGTGCGTATTGCTATGTGTTTGTTTATTCTACATTGTCTAGAGGTGTAGGGGGAGAGTTTTGATCTCACAAAACATGTTAAACCCGCTGCATTTTTGCACCTGTCCCAAGTCAGGAACCTCTGGCCTTGGTTAGTCTTGTATGTTTTTAATTTTAGTTCATTTATATGTTTTGGAGTTTAGTGTGATGTCCATTTTCATTGCACTAGTACACATTTTTGTTTAGAACCAGCTAAAGCTCGCCTCCGGGTGCGGGATTTTCTCTCTGTATTGAAGACCCATTGGTGGCCTGCGGCTGTTTTCTGCTCTTTGGTCGGGTTGTTGTCTCTTTGACGCATTCCCCATTTCCATTCTCAATTTTACTATCCTTTTTAACTTACCCACAATCCTTTCACCTGCATCAGTTTTTAGACGAATAATCTGCATTTTTGAGTTTATTCCACCAGGAGCAGAAGCTAAAACATTTTCTAGTTTATTCCATACACTTAATACTGAACCACTGAGAACGTGGAATGTACGTGTCCTCAGGCCAACATCACACTGCAGACCTAATGCTGTCTTCTTGCAATTGCCTTTCCTGAAAGATTCAAATTATTATTTTTAAGATTTAGTTGCCTAACATCTAGCAATAAATATTATGTCAAAATAGAGGACAGGAACATTCAATGCTAAGCATTTGATCAAATGCATTATTGCCATTGCGCGATGGAAGAAATTCTGAGAAGAAAATTTTTCAACCTATGAATTTCACCAAAATAAATTTATATCAACTTAGAGAATAAGCAGCTGCGACAAGTAACCATGATACTTCTTTATTGTGTACATAGGAATTGTTGCAACGATAATAAAATGCTCCGCTGGGGCGCAGCTTGATACGACCGCAGAGGTCGAACCCTGAACAGTTGGGGCAAGTATGGACACAACATTCAAGCTTGATACAGCACTGAATTTGGATTGTAATTAAATATTTGACACAGCATAGGTTTCTGACACAGAATGAAAGTGGTCTAAGAACTTAAAAATTTTCAATTTACCTATTCATACATGTGATGGACTGTGAAACTCGGATCAGGAGATTGGGAAATTTTGGTCAGGAGATTAGGACTCAGATCAGGAGGTTTTTAATCGACATTAATTTTGTTGTAAATGTAACCGTGTGCTGTAAAAATGGTCTTTTAAAGTGTGTTTTCTTCAACTTTCCAACCAATTTATTATGTTTATAGTACCCTTGTACTTATAAAGTTTCTCCATCTTTATATTCTACATGTTCAATCTAACATTGTTTATTTCCAGTATGTTCTTTAAATTTTTTACTTCATATTCTATAAAACAATCATTGCAACCAGAACATTTGTTTAGCTGTCTGCAAATAGTTTTTATTTTTATTTTTTTCTCTTGCAAACAGTTTTTATTTGCAAACTCAGAAATTCATTCTATCTGTAAAGTTAGGGTCATAGTTATTATATAAATTTCAATTTAAGCCTTAAAAGGAAGTATAGAATCCTCAAATAATTTTCAAATTATTATTTTTTTATTTGTCCTAAGACATTTAAAATCATTTAATAACCATCCTTTTATGATTATTTGTTCAATTTATATTTTATTTATATTCTTTTAAAAATTTTCATTATTAAAAGGAAAGTAACTTAAAACAGGATAAATCAAGGGAAGTAACCCAATAAATACACAGTTTTTGTTACACAACGGCAGTTAGCCTGAGGTAAAAATCGTTGCTTACCAGTATGTTTGACACCCAAGCTGACAAGTGAAGCCATATAATTATGCATGTTAATTGATTTACAGGTAAAATATAACTTCAGGTAATGTCAGTTACACCAGATGCCTGAGATGTTATGTTGGGCAGAAATTTTTCATTCATGAAAAATTTCATACACGGGATTTTTTCAACGGGAGGGGGGAGGAGACCCCTGAAAACGGGATTATTGTACTCCCGTCGGGAGGTTCACATGTATGCCTATTCAAACCATATCATTATTATTTGCTTTTATATATAAATCAGAAATAACCAATTTAAAATGGAAAATGTTAAAGAAAAAAAAGGAAAAAAAAAATCCCCCCCCCCCCCAATTTTTTGAACCCCCTTATGATTCATCGCCCCCAAACTCAATCCCAGCTTTCCCTTTGTGGTATGGTATCTTGCAGTACAATTTCAGAGAGATTCATACACTTGAACACAAGTTATTGTCTGGAAACTAGAAAAATGCTTGTTTTTTTGCCCCTTTTTGGCCCCAAATTCCTAAACGTTTAGGGCAATTACCCCCAAACTCAATTCCAGCTTTCCCTTTGTGATATGGAACCTTGCAGTACAATTTCATAAAGATCCATACACTTACACACAAGTTATTGTCCTGAAACTAGAAAAATGCATGTTTTTTTTGCCCTTTTATGGCCCCTAATTACTAAAATTTTGAGGGAAAACCCCCAAAATCAATCCCAGCCTTCCCTTTGTGATATGGAACCTTGTAGTACAATTTCATAATGATCCATACACTTACAAACAAGTTATTGTCATGAAACTAGAAAAATGCTTGTTTTTTGCCCCTTTTTGGCCCCTAATTCCTAATATTTGGAGGAAATTACCCCAAAAATCAATCCCAGTATTCCCTTTGTGATATGGAACCTTGTAGTACAATTTCATAAAGATCCATACACTTACAAACAAATTATTGTCATGAAACTAGAAAAATGCTTGTTTTTTGCCCCTTTTTTGCCCCTAATTCCTAAAATTTGGAGACAATTACCCCCAAAATCAATCCCAGCATTCCCTTTGTGATATGGAACCTTGTGGTACAATGTCAGAGAGATCCATACACTTACACACAAGTTATGTCTGGAAGTTACAAAAATGCTTATTTTTGGCCCCTTTTGGCCCCTAATTCCTTAACTGTTAGTACCATAACCCCCAAAATCAATCCCCACCTTCCTTTTGTGGTATTGAACCTTATTGTAAAATATCAATGAGATCCATTCACTTAAACTAAAGTTAGAGTGCGAAAACTAATGTGTATTCGGACGACGACGCCGGACGACGACGACGACGACGACGACGACGACGCCAACGTCATACCAATATACGACCACAAAAATTTTTTTGCGGTCGTATAAAAATGGAATATTTAGAAGCCATTTAATCATGTTAATAAAATGGTACTGTAAAAAACATGCACAAGGATACCCTTAAGCGTTTAAATATTGTGTCAAATAGAAAGAAGTAAAAGTCCTATTACCCTGGAATAAAGTTTGTATTAATTTGATCCAAGCACACTCGAGCTAGTGCACAACATTTTAAAAATGCTTTTTATTTGTCAAAACCAGGAATGACATATCAATTTTTTTTTAAATCGAACAGTCATGACAGTATGTTATGTTCACCAATTCCAATAAATTTGTAAAGTTTCCAGTAAATAAATCTTATAAGCTGACAATTAAATCCCTAAACTCTTAACTACAAACCAGAAAACTAAACAAGAGACTCTCAAGAGCCTGAATCGCTCACCTGTATTTCAGAGGAGAAGATTTTTAAATGTTAGCAAACTTGAAGAACAAATTGTGTAAAATTGTCTTTAAAGAGCAATAACTCCTTAAGGGGTCAATTGACAATTTTGGTCAGATTAACTTTTTTGTAGATCTTACTTTGCTGAACACTATTGCAGCTTACAGTTTATATCTATCTATAATAATATTCAAGATAATAACAAATAAAATGTTCCGCAGGGCGCAGCTTGATACGACCGCAGAGGTCGAACCCTGAACAGTTGGGGCAAGTATGGACACAACATTCAAGCTTGATACAGCTTTGCATTTGAATGTGATTAAATATTTGACACAGCATAGGTTTCTGACACAGAATGAATGTGGTCTAAGAACTTAAAAATTTTAAATTGGACATTCACCTATTATGGTCTAATATCCAAAATCTAAATAAATGGTTAGATTCAGCATATCAAAGAACCCCATATATTCAATTTTTGTTGAAATCAAACAAAGTTTAATTTTGGACCCCGATTTGGACCAACTTGAAAACTGGGCCCATAATCAAAAATCTAAATACGTGTTTAGATTCAGCATATCAAAGAACCCTAAGAACTCAATTTTTGTTAAAATCAAACTAAGTTTTATTTTGGACCCTTTGAACCTTAATGTAGACCAATTTGAAAACGGAACCAAAAATTAAGAATCTAAATACACGGTTAGATTCGGCATATCAAAGAACCCAAATAATTCAATTATTGATGAAATCAAACAAAGTTTAATTTTGGACCCTTTGGACCTCAATGTGGACCAATTTAAAAACAGGGCCCAAAATCCAAAATCTAAATACACGGTTAGATTCAGCATATTAAAGAACCCCAAGAATTCAAGAATAAAACCCCATTGAAATTGGTCAAGAAATAAGCAATTTATACGAAGTATCTTCTTTTGCACAATACTGTGCAATTAAATATTTCTTGCTATTGCGCAATACTGTACAATTGACAATTTCTTGCTATTGCGCAATATTGTGCTATTGGATATTTCTTGCTATTGCAAAATACTGTGCAATTGAAGATTTCTTGCTATTGCGCAATACTGTGCAATTGAAGATTTCTTGCTATTGTGCAATACTGTGCAATTGAAAATTTCTTGCTATTGCACAATACTTATTATGTAATAATTTACACATCCTGTTTGGTGTGTATCTCCTACCATATCATTATTATTTGCTTTTAAATATAAATCAGAAATAACCAACTTAGAATGGAAAATTTTAAAAGAAAAAAAAAAGAAAAAAAAAAAAATCCCCCTCCCAAATTTTTTGAACCCCCTTATGATTCATCACCCCCAAACTTAATCCTCACCTTCCCTTTGTGGTATGGTACCTTGCAGTACAATTTCAGAGAGATCCATACACTTGAACACAAGTTATTGTCTGGAAACTAGAAAAATGTGTTTTTTGGCCCCAAATTCCTGAACATTTGGGGCAATTACCCCCAAACTCAAACCCAGCTTTCCCTTTGTGAAATGGAACCTTGAAGTACAATTTCAGAAAGATCCATACACTTACACACAAGTTATTGTCCTGAAACTAGAAAAATGCTTGTTTTTTGCCCCTTTTATGGCCCCTAATTACTAATATTTTGAGGGAAAACCCCCAAAATCAATCCCAGCCTTCCCTTTGTGATATGGAACCTTGTAGTACAATTTCATAAAGATCCATACACTTACAAACAAGTTATTGTCATGAAACTAGAAAAATGCTTGTTTTTTGCCCCTTTTTGGCCCCTAATTCCTAAAATTTGGAGGAAATTACCCCAAAAATCAATCCCAGTATTCCCTTTGTGATATGGAACCTTGTAGTACAATTTCATAAAGATCCATACACTTACAAACAAGTTATTGTCATGAAACTAGAATAAAATGCTTCGCTGGGGCGCAGCTTGATACGACCGCAGAGGTCGAACCCTGAACAGTTGGGGCAAGTATGGACACAAAATTCAAGCTTGATACAGCTATGACTTTGGATTGTCATTAAATATTTGACACAGCATAGGTTTCTGACACAGGATGAATGTGGTG